ACCCAGCAGCTGGAGCTGGTTTTCCTGGTGCTGAGGTGGCAGAGGCTGTGCGAGCCTGGTGGGATGTCCCTCCCTTCCCCTCCCTCACTGGAGGGAGGGGAAAGTGCAAAATAAAGTCAAAAATACATCAGGAGAGGTCCAGGGTTGTCTCCTGTAGTTCCCTGCTCTCAGTGACAGAGCCCCCATGGATATCTTGGCTGGAATCTCCCAGTGAAAAGCTCCTGGATTAAAGGGGGAATTTTGGGGTCTGCTCCAGAGGGGGTTTTTGGGGCTGCTTGATCACAGCCACGTGTCTGGGAGGGCTTGGTGACCAAAACTTCCACCCCTGTGAAGCTCAGGTGGATGTTTTTTTCACAGGATCATCCTGAAGGTTGTTTCAAGGCAGGTCACATTTATATTGGGGTTTTTTTGGGTGGGTGACCAAAAGGAAATTTGGCTTCCTTTTTTGGAAGACCAAAAGGAAATTTGGCTTTTGCAGTGTATTAAATGCAGCCCCTCTTTGGGGCTCCTGAGGTTTCAGGGTTCCTCTGCAGCAGAAGGAGGAATCAGCACCAACAGCTTTTCTTCTTTCCCACTTTTCCTCCCATCTTGAACTCACAGGAGATGTTTGGTGATGGAAAAGTGGGGCTGGTGGGACTTGGGGATCATTTAATCCATCCCCTGATCCCCTCTCCAACTGATTTTATCGCACTAACCCTGATGGAAGTCCCTAAAATCCACCTCCAACAATGATTCCGTGCACTCAGCTGTCTGTTATTTACCCTCAGCATTAAAAGTTTATCCTAAGAAGAAATTCAAACCTCTCTTTTCCCATCTCCTCCCCTGCAGCTTCACCCTGTTTCCCCCTGTCCTGCCCTCCCATGGCCTGAAGGATAATTGCCCTCTTCTCAGAACAACCATTTACACAAAAGAAATCTGCTCTATCTCCAGTTCAGAAAACTCTTCCCCGGGCTGGGAAAGGTCAGATTAAATTGCCTTTCTTTGAGGCTTGGCTTTCCTAAGCCTCTCCTCCATCTCCTGCATGTGCTGAGTGTTGATACAGAGCCTGAGGTGGGCTTTTTGTCCACCAGAATCCCACAAAACGATTGAATTCCCACCTCCTGCTGGGGCAGGATGGCGAAAATCAGGACTCTAAAAGTCAGAGTAAGCCCATACCTGGCTGCCAAAACCACAAACTGTTTGTTTTCCCTGGCAGAGCTGTTGGCTTTCACTGGGGGGGACCTGCCACTGTCACCAGCCCCTTCCCAGCTGTCTTTGGACACAGAATGTGTTTCCCAGTGGGATCTGCTCACACAGCTCGTGCCCTCCCAGGCTCCACCAGCGCAGTTTATTCTCCCTGCCAGCCAAAGCTGTGCTGGAAATCAGTGGAATCCTTTATCCCAAGAAATTCTGGGTCTGGTTTTACGCCTCGAGCTTCTCCACAGTGAGATGCAATCCCTGTCAGTGCTGACAGCTCCAGCTCTCCCTATTAGCTGGGAAAACATGCAGGAATAAACCACCCGTGCATCTCCTTCCCGGAGCCTGGCGTGGCTCTCCTGTCATGTTTTCCCCCAGCACCTGATGTTTGCAAGTCTCTGCTTTAAGTCAGATCAGCTCCAGGAACAGAGCACACGAGAGCTACAACTTTCTCTCCCTCCCTCCCCTCAGCCTGAGTGTTTAATTTGCTCCTGACTCTGCCTGAGCAATTTTTTGAGAGCACAGTTTATATTTGCCTATGCAAATCAGCTGAGCAAATATGCTGAGGAGCTCCAAAGATAGATCAGGACGTTTCAGCACATGCCCAGCCCAAAGGAAAATCATCCCAGGCCATTTTGCTGTGTGTTAACCCTTCTGCCTTCACTGATTTGGGGTTTTTTTTTGGCAGGGAGATGCTGTCCCACCTCTTGTGAGCCCATGGAGCACACACAGTTGTGTATTCAGGAATCAGTTGTCTTTCTTTCATGTCCTTTTATTGCAGAACAAGCAGTTCCAGGAGCTGCAGGAGCTTTCCTTCAGTGATTTATGGTGGAATCTCTGGTGCCTCATAAAATTCTGATCTTCTGGAGCTCTGGGCATGGTTGGGGTGTTCACAGAAATCCTCTTCCCTCTGGATGTCTCTGAGCTGGGCTCAGCTGTTGTCTTTTCTTTAGGGGCAGGGAAAGAATTTGACCTTTCTCCTTGAATTCCCGCCAGCGGTTATAAAACAGCAAAACCCCCGAATTTTCCTTGAAACTGGTGGATGGCTGAAGTGGGTTCCAACATCCCCTGAAGAATGCTGGGTTCCAAATTCGATTTGCCCTCCCTGCAAGGGGGGAGATGGAGCTTGTCACCCGGTGGGGCTGGCAGACAGCTCCTGCAGAACGAGCTGCTCAGCCGGAAACATTCCGGAACAGCACGGCCACGCTCCTCTGGAACACAAGTGACTTCACTGGAGAGTGATTACTCCACTTTGGAAGAATGCTAATTACTTTGGAGAGGGTTTTTATTCTGGAATAAAGACCTGCTGTCGCAGTGTCCTTTGGGAGGCGTGAGGGAATCGTTTCTCCACTCCAGCTGTTTTCCTCTTGGAGATGAGGGCTGGAAAGGCAGGGGCTGTTGTGGTGCTGAGCCTGGGGATGGAAATGGGGTTTCAGGGATGTTTTATGGCAGGGTTGATTTAACCTCAGAGCGTGTGGAAGGTGACACAGCTTCTCAGTGCTGTTTTTAGCTGAGTTTCCTCAAGAAATGAGCCTTACATAAGCAGTGTCTGTGCCCATAACTTCTGCACCATTAGCTCACTGTGGCCGTGCTTAGCACAGCACAGGAGGGTCAGGGGTTGGGGCTGCACGTGTTTGGGTGCTCAGGGGGATCCTGTGCCGAGGGAGAGGCTGCAGGATGTCTTTATCCTGATAAAACATGGAATTACCTGTGGAATGGGATGGCCGAACATGCTTCTCCTTGAAAGGAAAGCTCTCCAATGGCAAAGCCACACCCCCAGCACTGATTTCCGTGTCCACAGAAAATTCTTGGTGGTTTTAAGCTTCAGCAGCCCCACAAGCTCTTCTCTCAGACTGAGCTGGAGCCATCTCTGAGGAGGAAGAGCTGTTGCTCATCCTCTCCTCTTCCTATTTTGCTGTCCCAGCCCAGCTGGGAGCCAGAACATTTCCCTTGCTTTGTTCTTTTGTGGATCTGCAAAAGGAGAAGAGAACTCTGCAGCAGAGCCCCCCAGACAGAGTCAGATGCCAGCTCGGGGTGGTCGTGGTGGTTCTGCAAATGTTTCCCTGTGCTCGCAGCCAAAACAATCTCACTTTGTTAGACAGTGGAATTGAAACCCTTCCCCCTCAGCTCTGCAATGGATGGAAGGTGAAGGACAGCTCTTCCTCCTCTGAATTATCCAAATCTGTTGCCCAAATGAACATTTTGGGTTGAGATTTAATATTTTTCACACCACTGCCTGAGGGAGGCAGCTCCTCTGATTACTCTGATCTGCTCACCAGGGTTAGAAGGGGAAGAAGAGATGAGGAAAGTTCTGCTGCCTGTCCTGGGCCTGCTCTGGGGTGGGGATTGCTCCTCACCTCCTGCTCCTGGCTACCTGAGGGACCAGTGTGGATAATGTGCTCCATGAACACCTTCTCCTGGTTTTTGGGCATTTTAATGAGTTCTCTCTGAGCAGAATGTGGATCTATCTGCTGTGATTCTGCAGAATGGCTCAAAGGGGGAAGAGATTATTGGAAAATGGGAAAATCATCCCTGCTGGGGCATGGGGGCCACTCCTTGGCGTGGTGTGCACCCAGAGTGGTGTGGTTTGGGGGAAAAGGAGCTGGTTTTGTGTCCCATCCTCATTCTCCGATAAACCCCAGCTCAGGCAGGGCTGAAGGCAGGTTTGTTGTCATTGCCAGGGGTTTGTCCTCCTGCTGAGGGGGACTTCAGCTCTTCTTGCTCCTGATTGTGCCACAGCAGAGTCAAATTTGGGGCAGAGGAACCTGAAAGCCCTGGAGCACAGCGAGGTCACCCTGTCCCCAGCCAGACCAGGGCAGGTGACACCTCTTGTGCTACTCCAGCCCGGCCTGGTGGCAGGACAGCTGTGGCAAAGGGCTCTTGGAGGTGTCAGAGTGACCCTGCAGAGCTCTCTGCCTGTCCCCAGTGTCCCCACTGCTCCCTGCCTGTGCCTGCTGACAGCCAAACGCCTGCTGGAAGGGCTGGCACCTTCCATGGCTCTGGGATATGTTCCCAGATCCAGGCACAGCAGGGAGGATTTTTTTGTTTGCTTTTTTTTTTGTCTTTTTCTTGCATGTGTCAACATTAGAAAGCAAAAACCAGACAGGGAAACATTGAAGAATCTCTCGCCCAGCCCAGCTCTTGTGCTTTTATTTGTCAACACTTATTTTTGTTTCCTGACACAAAGTGGAAACATTTGGTCAGTGTTTTGGCTCGTGTCCCTGCTGTTTTCCCTGTCTCCTGCAGTGTCACATGGAAGGACATTCCAGGCTTTATTTTTTGTCATTCCTGACAGGCATGAAGCTGTAAAATATTTGGGTGGCTGCTAACAGTGTTTTAATCCCAGGAGATGTTTTTTTCCCTGGCTCCAGGGCTGCCCTTTGGGTGAGGGAATGTTCTCAAAACCTTCTGCAGAGCTGCTAAGAGCCAGGGCAGGCTGGATCCAGGTGCTGTGAATCCCTGTGCTTGTTCCTACTCCCAAGCTGCTCTTCCATGCCTCTTTTCAGGTAGTTGAAGCTGAAAGAATTGGTTTTGAACAGAGGCTTGGAGCCTGCCTGCTCGAGGGAACTTCACTGCACCCTTGAAGAATTACCTAATGTGGTGAGATTCACTTGTCTGGTTACCTAAGTGCTTTGTTCCTGCTTTTCCAGAGAGGAATTGCTGACTCCCATCAATGTGTGCTCTGAAATTGTGTTTCCTGGAATCTGCATCCCTTCCCAAATGCCAGAAGTCCATTAGAGTAGAGCAAAAGACATTAAAAAAGCCCCTTAGTTTAATACTTTCACCTGCAGGGTTGATAAAAATTCCATCCTTGCCCCAGAACTTCCTCTGTGACATCTGCACAATTCCATTCCTCCCACAAACCAGCCACAAGGATCCTTCCTGCTCTGGTTCCTGCTTAAAGCCCCTCAGGGCAGCTGCTGCCTGAATATTTACTCCAGCCAGGTAGGAAATGTTGATCCTAAAATAATACAAATAATGAGGCTTTTTCTTTGCTGGCCTGGGTGTGTATCCTTTATTTTTTTTAAAGATAAAGAGCAGAACTTCAGTGTTTTAAGGGACTTTTTGTAGCCAGCAAGCTCCCTGCAGGGCCAGGTGTTTGGATTCACCAGGCTCTGTGGGCTGGGATTGTCTCCTGGGGTGAGGATCTGGAGGATGCTGCAGCCAGCCAGGGAGTTGTGCTGTCTGTACAAACTTTCCAGAAGGCTTTGAGGGTTTTTCCTTTTGTTCAGGGTGCTTTGAATGTGGTTGTTCATGATATGAATGATGCTCTGTGTGTGTATATATATAGATATTATATATATGGATTTTTTTTTGTGGTAGGACACATGCTCTGGCAGGTGTGTGCTTCTACTGATGGTGATTTCATATAAATTTATTTTATATATTTATATATTATTTTTATATATTTCTAGATCACATATAAAATATATATTTATATAACCATATATTTATATAGTTAATACATTTATATAGTTATTGATATTTATGTAGTTATTGCTACTTAGTTATCGATATTTATATAGTTATTGATATTTAGTTATTGATATTTATATGTTTATTGATATTTTATATATAAAGGGTGTTTGCATGCACAGGAGCCTCCTCAGGCAGTGGTGAGAGAGGCCTTGGAGAAGGAGATGCCTTTAGGGAACATTCCCTGAGATGTTCCTGGGGAGCTGAAATGGGAATTCATCACTGCCAAAATCCAGTAGGGAATTGAACAGGCACCAGGAGGCTCCTGGGACATTTTGGGAAGTGCAGGGATTTTGTCTTGTCCTGAGAGGAGGGGCATGAACAGAGCTGGATGAAATATCTGAAAAGAAGGGGTCACTCTGTGGGGTCAGCTGGCAGGGCTGGAATAACCACCCCACCTGTGTGCTGCTCTCTCCAGCCACATCCTGGCAGCACGGATACATTTCTTCATCTGTCTTTCTTTATCTGTGTTTCTTTATCTGTCTTTCTTTATCTGTGTTTCTTTTTCTGTGCTGCCTCAAGAGCAGGATTTTCCACGAGGTTGGGATTTTTTTGGGACATTACCTGTGGTCCTCCCCAGGTGAGAAGGCACTGGCTGAGCTTCTCCAGAACTCTGGCACTGCTCTCCCCTGCCCTTGAAAGCAAGGGGAGATGAAGAGACAGTGCCTGGCTGGCCACCAGAATCAGTGCTTTTCATTAAAAGTGTGTGAAAAGCCTTGCTGTTTTTCAGCAGTGATTAAATGAAAATACATGTACACGCCAGAGACCCGATGTCAGCCCTGTGGGCAACACAGCCCGAGATGAGAGACTGAAGAAATAAGAAATTGTCACTGATGTTATGAATTCGCTGTGCCCCCAGGTCTGAGGGTTTTCCTTGATGACAATTCTTTAATATGGTGCATTGAAATCGCTTTGAGGCCAAGAATTCCGAGTGCAGCTGGCAAAAGGGGGGATTTGCCACCAGGAGGGAAGGGAGGAATTCCTTTAAAACAGCTGTAAAAAGTAAACTGGGGGAGCCTGAAAAGCACTTCAGGGCTCTCCTGCCTGCTGATGCTGGGCAATGACCAAAACCCTTAGGGGTGTGGATTATTCTGCATTTTTAGCCCCTGGGGGTCAGGAAGGAACAGGAAGATTTTTGGGGCAGTAAAACACCGGATTTGTCTCCTCACACCTGGAGGTGTTGCAGCTTTTTGACCCCTTTGCTGCCCTCAAGATAAGAATCGGAGATGCTCAACAAGTGCCTGCTGAGATATTGTCCCAGAAGTATTCAGTGCACCTCAGCAAGCTGCAAATGCAGGTCAGGGCTCAGGGGGGAGGCAGGTGTTCCTCAGTGGAGCTTTTCAGTCCAGCACAGAATTCTCTTCTCTCCCCCTGTTTTACAGCTCACCTTCAAATTCTCCTCAGAGAGCAGAGCACAGGCACAAAGGCAGCTCAGGAAGGGCAAAGACATCCTTGTCAAAATCCTTGGTGTCAAAAATAGCTGCCTGAGACGTTCCTCCTCCTGCTGCTTTCAGCTGAATTATGATCATGACTTGCTGTCCTCGGGTTTTTGCAGCACAGTGTCCTTCCCTCCACAGCATCTCCCAGCCCTGGGTAGCTGCAGGGCCCAATCCCTTCCTCTCATGTCACACATCACAGGCAGCGAGGCTGCAGAGCTGGGGCTGCCAGATCAAAGGGCTCCTGATGGATGTGGAACCAGTGGCTTCATTAGTGCCGGCCTTGCAGGCTCCCAAAAGCTCCTTGAGGCAGGGGAGGAGGAGCGTGGGGTCACTGCTGCCGGAGGAAAGGGGACAGGGCTGTTTGGGGTGTGCAGCTGCCCAATCCCAGCCCCTCTCAAGTGAATTTGTGCAGCTCCTCCTTGGCTTTATGTTCATTTCAGGGCAGAGCTCGTGGTTGCCTTTTCAGCTCCTCCCTCGCTTTCCCTCTTCTGCACCTCCTTGAATCTGCCCAAACTTGATCCCGTTTTATCCTCCCCTTTCTCAACCAAAAGCTGGTTTTGAAGACCCTCAGGTGCTGAAAGCAGAAGTTCTCCTTTTCCTTTGCTCCCTTGCACAGTTCTGCCCCTGACTCTCACAGAGGGTGCCAGGTCATGCCATGGGGAGCGACACAGGTTGAGCTCACCTGGATTATCCTCCCGTGTGCTCCTGGTGCATCCTCACCATTGATCCCTAGCTCCCAGAGCAGCATTTTGGAGCCTGAGGATTTATTTTGTTCACTAACCAGCCTCACAGACACAGTGCTGCCTTTGTGCCTGCAAATGCAGGAATGCTGCAGCTGGGAATTAAAAGCTTAGAGGGAAGTGGAATTATTTGTAAATAAATAACTCTTATAAACCTTGATGTACAGCATTAGAGGAGAGGGCTGAGGAGAGCAGAAACCCTTCTGGGAGACATGGAATAAATGCAGGAGAACAAGGGCTGAGTTTCAGTGCTGTCACAAGGAACTTGTCTGGCCTCTAAAAGGCCCCGACAGTTTGTGATAAGGGATGAGATCTTTTTCTGCTGGCAGCGAAGAAATATTGGCAATAAAAATGCTTCAGCTGCTTTTAGACTCTGTCCCGTGATTTGATTAATTTCCTAGATTCTATTTATTTTTCGTGATGAATTGGAAATCCCATTTTGCATTGATTTTGTCAGTTAAGAGGGGACAATACCTGCAGGAAAAAGCCAGCTCATGGCAGCAATGTGAGTTCCTCACACCTGCTTCAGTCTTGCTTCCCTTCAACGTGGGTTCAGCTCAATTTTGGCAGCTTTGAAAGGACCACACCCCACACCCCAGACCTGGAAACCATCAAATCCCCACTCCAATGCACCTTCAGCTCAGTTTGCCTCCAGTTTTACATCCCCAGAGCCTTTGGTCAATAAGTTTTCCTCTGCCCACCCCCCAAATAAATTTGCCTCCAATTAAATCCTTGGGAAACATCCTGATAAAATTGTTGTAGCTCCTGTTTGGCTTCTCAGGGAGGGGAGATGAAGATTTCTTTTTAAAAACCTCATGCAAATGTGCAGCTTTTGCTGCTGTTCAATAAAGTTGATCATTTTAGTGAGGAAGTATCAATGCAATTTTCCACACCACTGACTTAAAGATTGGCTCTGGGTGTAAATGCAGCCATTCCTTTTTCTCTCATTTGTGTGGGGAGCAAACAAAAGGGAAGAAAATCTTCTGTTGCCTCCCTGATAAACGTTATTATATCCCAAATAAATCTCTGAAATTCTGCCCCAGAATAGGCAGCACCACTGCATTTTTGCAGGTCCTTATTCCATCTGTGCCTCAGCTGAATGCAGAACTCGGGAATGCCTTTCCAGCCCATTACATTTCCCAGTGAAAAATGTGAGAATTACTTCTGATGTTCGTGGGAAGCCATCAGGATGTAAAACACCTGAAAATGAAATATTAACTTTGCCACCCAAGCCAGTAATGGCTGTTATGTTTTGCATTATAACACATTAAGGTGAAGTTCCTGCCTAAGAAAGAAATAAATAAAAAATCCCCCAGCTCCCATCCCAGGGATGACAGGCTGATGGGAGAGGATAAAATTGGAAAGTTGGGGGGGGGGGAAATATAATATATTCACAGTTTAGATGACAGTGAATATAAAGACAGACTGAGCTTAAGTGGAAGTTGCAAAATATCCTTGGGAAGTCTTATTCCCTCCAGATTGCTGCCAGATATCCTGGAAAGTGTGTATTGGTAGCAGAAGAAACGCAAAACCTTATGGATTGAGGAAGTAAAAGCATCTCCGTTGCTGTTTAGTTCGTGGAATTGACAGAAAAGCTCAATATTTGTCCCTTTTTGGAGCAGTTTCCTGGCTGTGCTGATCAGGGTGGGTGAACACGGCTCCAAATCCCTGCGCCTCAAGAGTGGCTGTTCCTCCAGGGCAGGAGGCTTTGTTTGCTTTTAATTTTGTGGGAAAATTTTGGGGTTTTTTAGGCTTTTTTACCCCTTTACTGCGTTGTGGTGGGATTGGTCTGAGCCAGAACCTGCAGACAGCAAAAACACCTTGAGAGACTTAGAGGAGAATGGATAAAAAATGCTTTAATTCACTGGTTTTCCTTTACTGTCCCTTCACTTTTTGCTCCAAAAACCTCCTTTCATCACTTAGGAAGGAAAATAATTGGGAAAAAACCCCCTCCAATCCCTTTCCTGCTTTGTCCCCTCCAAAAAATATCTGATTTTTCCTTCCCTAACGCTGCTCATTTCAATGTGAAAAGGGGAAATTCTGGGTCATTAGCACTGATTGCCTCATTTTTGAGCCCATTTTAGGGTTATTTGTTTGGACTTTCTTCTGTTTGGGGTTCTTTGCTGCGCCTTGAGAGAGAACTCCTCATTTTTTATTTTTTTTCCTCAGAAATAAAAAGTTAGCAGATGCCAACAGGAATCCTCTGCTCTAAAGAGCCTTTTAGATAAAGAGCCTTTAGTTTTACTCCAGGTCTGTTAATTAAACAGTCTGGAGACTTCAAGGGCCGGCAGAGAAGGGGAAAAAAGGTGATAAAAACAATGCAGCTGATAATATTTAGGTTTCAAAATGTTCTCCAGCGAGTTAGAGGGGCACTAGGTGTTCTAAACGAGATCAGATGAAAAATTATGGATAAATGGCAAGCAGTGGATAACGAGGGGCAAATTTTTTAATGTTTTCTAGCATAGAAGCTTTTGTTTTAAAGCAATTTTCCTGTCAGGGGTTAAAGCAGGCTGGGAGTTTTAATGGGAATATTCCTGGCAGGGATTTCTCTCCCTGGAGCTGCCACACTTGGTGTTTTTCCCACTTTTAGGGTCTCCCCAGTGGGTTCATCTCTGCCCTCCCCTCTGGTGCAGATGACTTTTGTCACCAAGGGCAGGGGCTGAGGATTCTTTTGGAGCAGAATGTGGGAATGGGTGTCCAGACACGGAATTTTGGCTGCATTTTCCATCCGAGGACGCCACTGGAATGACGGATTTGGCCTCTTTTGGTGCCCAGTGGGATTTGCTGCTGTCCCTCTTCATCTCCCAGGGCTGTGCTGGGCTCTTTGCCTTCCCAAGGTGAGGATTTGGGATCCCTGATGGATTTCCCTGGAAATCTGCACCTCTCTGAGCAATGGGATGTTCTCTGCCCTCCCCTGAGCCCAGCTGCTGCAGGTGATTATTGTCACCCAGGGCAGGGGTGAGGATTGCTGCCACAGCTCCAGCTCTCAGCCTGTGACCTCCTCTCCCTCCTGCAGCCCCCAGGCAGATGCTGAGGGATGGATTTGTTAAGCCCAGCCTGGAAAGTGCTGTTTGAACCAAAAACTTCATCCAGAATTCCACTGGAGGCCTTCCCAGGCCACGCTTTGCTTGCAGCACGCTCGGAAATTAATTTTTATTTGCAGGCTCGTGGGGGAAGAGCGATACAAAGCAAACAGGGAAGTGCAGACAGAAAATGCATTAGAAATGTTTGGAAAAGGCACTCCAAGGTCTCCCCAGGCTGGTCAGAGAGGAAAGTTTTCCAGGTAAAGAGTCCCACACAGGGATGGCTCTGAGGATTAATATTTAGGAGGAAAGCGATCAATTATGATGAATAGCAAATTATTTTCCAAGCGTTTTGTGCTATTAAGGACACAAAAAGCAGAAGAGGAGATAACCATCCCTATTAATAATGATTAATCCACCCCTGTCAGCAGCTGGATCCTCACTACCTGCCTGAACCCGAGCCTGGCTCTGTAATTTAACACTCAGAATCCAGCACAGTCTGTATTTATCACCATTATTTTGTTGTTCTTTGTTTTGACAAATATCATCAGTGAGTGTTTGTAGCTTCTCACTCAGGTGTGGTGGTACAGGCTGAGCCACACGTGGTGCTCTGCCAGGGGTTTGACATGATTTATCTGGGATAATAACAACAATATTCCTCACCTGGAATAATCAAAATATTCCGTGCCTGGGATTTGAGGTGCCTTTAAAAGCTGTGCCATCCCCAGGGCTGACAGGGAGGCAGCACTGACACATTCTGTGCTAAAAATCAAATTATTATTGAGACCTCTTAATCTCCGCAGCAAGTACAACATGCTCTGGCTGATTGCTTCCAAGGAGGAAACTGAATTTCTTTTTTATTTTTTTTTTGTGTGTATTGGGATTTTTGGAGCATGCAGGAGATGTCAGAACAAGGGGATGACAATCCAGCAAGGGAGAAGTGAGGACAGGGAGCTGTCCAAGAATTTGACCATTTCTGCTTTTCATAACTTATTTATCCACACGTTAAATGCTGTTTAATGGGAATCTGCAATTTTATTATGGTAGATTTTGCTGATTTTTTTGTGTGTGTGTAAGTGGTGGGTGATTCCTTTTTCCTTTATCCCTTTAAATCTTGGTTTTGGTGGCTGGGTCTGGGTTTTAAGCTTGGCTTTTTGGTTCTCACAGCAAACTCTTGGCTTCAGGGTGCCTCTCTGAAATGCACCAGGCAAAGCTTTGCTCTGTGATAAGGGAAAAATAAAAAATAGGTTTTATTTAGAATGGGTTTGAGGAGAGGGAGAACTCCTGACTCCTTCAGGAAGAGTAGAATTACACAGACTTTAAAAGAGTGCAATTAAGGATCTGCTTGTTCTAGGTGAAGCTTCCTTGCCCCAGTGTAGTAATTAATAATTATCCATAGAGAAAATTAACCCAAGCCAGGCAAAACCTTTGGAATGATTTGAGGTCATTTGAGGCTAAATTGCTAAAATTGGCCACAGACACCACTCCCTCTTGGGGTCTAAAAATGCCTCTCCCCACCCTCAGCCCCATCTGAGATGTGACTCAGAAGTGACAGGGATGTGTGGATTCATTGGCAGCAGCACAGCCAGGAAGAGCTCCAAAGGCAACAGCTCCAGCTCTCAGCCCAGAATCCCTGAAGAAATGAGGGATCATCCACTTGGGAAAGGCTGCTGCATTCCAGGGCCCTTGGAATGCTGTTGGTGATGTCCTAGCAGGTTATCAGCTCAGAATTTTGTTGAGTTTGACTACAACCCCTTTCCTGGTAATTCCTCACGTGGAATGTATTGATTCCATTTGCTGGAGCATTCTTCCCCTTAAATATTTTTTCCATAATGTGAGGTTGAACATGTTCCTAATGGCTCCTGCAAGCCCTGTGTTTCAGTGGCACCAATAAAGTAATTTGGTTTAAATTGAATTGGACTCGGCCAAACAGAGAGTGGAAATTGAGAAAAGGAGCAGAGAAGTGCAGAGTTCTACTGGAGGGGAAGGAAAGCAAAGGGAGAGAATTGGGTGGGTTTTTTCTTTCAAAGGAGGTTAAAAATGGGGGAAAAATCAAGGAGAAGTGACAAAGTGGGGAAATACCCAGCGGTGATATTCTTGGCTGTTGGGAATGCTTTGCTGGGGTCAGAGTGCACAAACGTGAGGATGCTGTTTGGAGCACACAACCCCAGTGCCTGGCAAAGAAAATGGGAATTTTCCTTCTGGATTTCACCCTCAGAGGGGAATTTCCCAGTTCAGGCTGATTTCCAGCCTTTGAAAGGAGGGGGAAGGGGACATGGTGACAATTTTCCATTGCCCTGAGCAGTGAAGTGAGAGCAGCCCTTCCATCCAGCTGTTTCCTAGGATGTCTCCAGGTGTTCCAGCACCTTTCATGACCTAGAGATGAAGCTTTTAATGTCCAGTATAATTTCTCCAGGTCTGTGGGAGCACTGAAGTGATTCCAAGCCAAAGGACACCGAGCTGTGCTCCCATTACCTCTCCAAAGGGTCCCTCTCCATCCTTTCCCCTTTTAGGCCACAGCTGAGTGAGACCACTCTGTACATTTTATTTCCTTCCATTCTCTGTTCATTTTAAAATTTTATTTTTTTTTTTTTTAATAGAAATCTTATTTTAACTTTGATCTGATTTTCCTGTCTAATTGACAGGGAGTCAATTATCCCCCTGAATATGACTGTCACACACTCAGCAGTGGGAATTGTCAGGTGTCTCTTTTGGGGGGGTGGGAAATGAATGTCACCTCTCCATCCTTCCCTTCCTCCATTCCCTTTGGGTTTGTTTTCCCTCTCAGGTTTGTTTTATTGAGGATTTGATTTGAAAATGGGGAAGTAAAACAAGGAAATGTTGGATAATGAGGGGGCAGTAAAGGGTGAGGTGAATTTTAATGGACTCCCTTTAGGAGGGGCTGTTTCTGCCTGTCAGGTTCCCATCAGATTGGGGACATTTCCTTCTCTTTTGGCTCTTTCCTGTAAAATTATTGGGAAATTCTGTCCTTAGGAGTGAAAGGGGTTTTTAAGGAGCACCTAAAGCAGCCAGGAGCTGTTTGGGTCCGGGCCGTCCCTGATGTGCAGGGATCAATACTGCAGGGATGATTCTTTTGGGATGAATAATGGCTGGAAAACTCCCTTTATCCAGCCCTTCCTGCTCCTGTGTGCCTCGAATCCAGTGCCTTCTTTATGGAGTGGGAGGCCTGGAGCGAAGCATCCTTATCCCCACGGGAATCTGGAGAGGAGGAAGCCACAAAGAGCCCAGGAATTGCCATTGTCCCTTCATTTTGCTTCCTGGAGGGCACTTAATGGCATCTTGATATTTCAAAGCCAGGCAGGAGCTGAAGCTTCTCTTTTTCTTGCGGGGTTCCTGACATTTGGGAGAGCTGTGATGGGATAAATGCTCCCTCGAGGAGCTGATGAGGTGTGAGGAGCTCCAGCTATGAGATCAGGGCCAGGCTAACAGAGCTAATGATGACTGAGAGAGATGCTGGGCTGGGAAAAAGGGGATCAGGCTCAGGAGAAGAGAATCAGGCTGAGGAGAAGGGAATCAGCCTCTGTCCTCGCCCTGTAGGAGTGGGAATTTTGCTGGCTGCTTCCACTGAACGCACCCAGAACAGCATCTCACCAAGGGATCTCTGCTCCTGGATGCTGTTTCAGGGGCTGAGCTTTAAAAAGGACACAAAGGTGGCTCAAAGACACAGGAATGAGCACTGAAATCTGTGCAAGGGCCTTGGCTTCAGTGCTCCTGACGTTTCCATATGCCTGGTAATTAAATTGTGAGTCAAGGGAAGGAGCCCAGCTCCTCTAATAGCAGGGAAAAGGAGGCAATCGTGGAACTTCCATCTGTCTGCAAAGATCCTTTATGGGGCAGATCCATCAGCAGCCCTGAGCCGTGTGCCAGGCTCAATTAGACTAAACAGGATCAAAGGGCAGCCTGGGTAATAAATATCCCTGCAGAACCAAGCTGGAGTCTTCCCACTCACTGCTGGAGAGATAATAATCATTAGTGAGTGGAGCGAGATCCACATCCAGAGGAAGCTGGGCTTGGGAAGGGGGTGATGTTTTATTAGGGAGTAAAAATCCACATCTCCTTTCCCTAGGATTGCAGCAGGCTGCTGTTATTCCCTGGGCTGCTTTTTTGGAGTTTGTACCCAGCCCTACATCGATTGTGGAGAGGTGGCCCAGGTAATTGGGAAGTGTTTAAAATGTACACGGGGTAATTGAGAGCTGCTGTAAAACCCTGGGCCAGGCTCAGAACCTCCTCTCCTCTAATGAGGCAGAAGGTGGACAGAGATTGGGTCTGACTTGCAGGGAATTGCTTTGCTCTCCTGTTTTTAGAGCCCTCTGTGTGCTCATGGAAAACCTTCCAGCAAAACTTTTGTGACACATTTCCTATAGGAAACGGAACAGTGATTGTTTCTGGGAAAAATAAAAAAGCTGAACTAAAGACTCTTCTGCCCCAGCAGCAAATAAAGAGAGCATCAAAATATTTTAGTATCAAGGCTTGCTTTCCATCAGATTTCCTCCTGCCCTTGCAAAATGATGCAGCAACAAAAAAAAAGTACCTAAAGGAAAGGGGGATTTTCAGGAGCCTGTTGTGTTACCTGAGCGTGGATTCAATGATCCAGCTGCTTGGGAAATGCAGTTTTGCTGGAATTGTTACCAAGGGAAGCCTTGCTGGGATGTTTCAGTGCCTGCTCTGGTTTCATCCTTCCCTAGGAGTGACTTTTAGGAAGAGTTCAGTGACTACTGAGGCAGAAAATCAACTGATCCTTTTGTCAGGAGCTTTTTCTCTCAGGGGCAGGATGAGGCTTCTCCAGGGCAGTCCAGGGGATGAGGCCAGAGCCTGTCTTGCCACAAAAAGTCAAAATTCCTTTTCTGGGCAATGCCTGCCTTGGTGAAGTGCTGTGTCGAACACTGTAGGCCGGCCTGCAGGGAGAGCATTGTAGGGCGGCCTGAAGAGGGGCTTAGATCAACCTGAACTGTTCCTAGACTGGGCTGAAATGGGGTTTAGACTGGCCTGGAGAGGGGTTTAGGCTGGTTTACAGTGGGGGTTTTGGATAAACCTGAGCTGTTGTTGGACCAGCCTGAAGCGGGGCTTTAGCCTTTCCTGAAGTGTGTTGTTGTTAGACCATGCCTGAAGCTTTAGACCAGCCTAACACCATCCCAGCTCTTCCCTCTTCATCCCTTGGCTGAAAAATCCCCCAAACCAGTGGCAGGTTGGGAAAGAGGGAATTCTTTTTGGGGTCAGAGTGGCTTTTAGGAGCACCTGATTGTGTTGACCATAAATCTTTTTCGCTGCTGCATCTCTTTGTTTTTCTGGGCTTTATTTGGAGGGTGAGTTACCCCCCAACTCCATAATCTGGGGAAATTTTCTCCTTCACTTCTTTTCTTCCTCCCCAGAACAACAATTTGAAGGCAATAAAGCAAAACACAAACTCTGCAAGCGAGCACCAAACTGTTCCCTCTCACTTTGCTGTGCTCAGGATCCCCCCCTGTGCCCATCTGGTGCCTTTTGGCTGGGCCCGAGCTCTGCTCTGTCAGCAAAATACCAGGATTAACAAATCCCAGCCTTGATTTAATGCTCTGGGAAGTGACCACGATATCAGACAGTGAATAGATCCCAACCTTTGCTAAAGGGCAAGCGAGTTCTGCCTCTGAGAGCACAATTTATTGATTCAGCACGCTCCTCTCTGACACTCACTTGTCTGAACCTCCCATTTTTCACCTTTTCTTAGAAATTTATTCGCACAGAGCCTTTCCTCCCCACCCAAATAATCACATTAAAAGCAATGCTGAGGATGCTTTAAACCTATACAGTTTACAGTATATGAAAATATTTACCTGGTGTTGCTGCTTCCTGTAAATATTGTGGAGTTTGGTGCATTTTTTCCTGGGGTGTTATCGCTGTTTTGGAGCTCTGCCTGTCAAGTTGGAGCACATTTGCATAGGGATTTGCTAATTGACAGCTTTTGAGCTGCTAGGGAACAAGAAAAGAACTTCTTTCTCCCCGTGTCACCAGCAGTGCACTTTATTTTCTTACATGCAGTTCAAAAGATCTTTTTTATTTATGAAATTAAAATTCAGTTATTCATTTCCTTGGATTAAACACTGCTGGTTATCCTGAAATAATAATTTTCTAGTGGTATTTTGTATTTGTGTCAGGAAACTTCCCCATCCTGGTACGTCCCAGGATTACAGAGGCTACTTAAGAATCCTGGGGTTGGTTTTTCCTCCAGCTCTACACTGGAAAATAAAAATATAACTCTAAATCCTCACTTATAGTGAATTTCCCCAAAAAAACCATCCTTAAACCCCTCCTCACATGTAGCATTTCTCCTCCTCTGCCTGGCAGATGTTGATGGTCATTCAGAAATGGATTTGAGGGAGGCAAAATAAATCAGCAGCACCCAGTGAGTGTTTACCCAGCAGCTGTAAATTTTAATTACTTCCCTATTTTAATGTCTTTGTTGGGGTTCTTTATTTAATTGGAGTTACCTTGTCTCAGTGCTTTCTGCTAAAAAGGAATCCTGGTTTTCAGGGTATTCCTGCTTTATGACAAAGGAAAACAAATTAAAATGAATATAATTATGGGAAGAGAGGAAGAACTTTAAAGAAAAATAAACACCCCCAAAATCCCAGCATCACTCAAACGATGGCTGGGGGCAGAATTTAGAGATAAAATCAAAAAAACAAACCCAGCTTGGTCAAATGTTTTTCCTCCTCATGGTTATGTAATTTCTCCTGGTCTTTTGCTGAATAATGAATAATCACAAAAATATTGCAATTTTTTTTATTTCCTTTTTGAATAAAAGTTTGAGCTCTGATGAGTTTAGGAAATATTTTGTCCCTAAACTAGGAAGAATTATTTCCTTTTAGGGTTTAATTCCCTTTTTTGAGCTTGGTTTGGTGGTTTTTATTATTTTTTTTTATTACTCTGGATGATTCTTGTCCCAGCTGTTGGTGATGAGAGATGTTCAGAATTCTGGATTCCCTCCCAGGATCTCCACACTGAAGAATTTAGGGTGTTTTATCCCTCTTTTTGTGAATAGTTGGAAATACCTGATTTAATTATTTTACTCTCATAATTATACCTGCTATAAGGAAGTGTGGGGAAGGTTCAATATTATCCCCTGATATAATTTGGAATCAGGAATATAATTTGACTTGACTAAAACAATTCCTGAGCTTTGGCAAGTTGGTTTAATGATTTTCAGCAGGGAAAAAATAATAGGAAAAAGAATTTTTTAGGTGCTTCAGTTTTGGCTGGCATGTTAAACAAATGAAGCTCAAACTCCAGCGCTCTTTTTTTCCCATATTAAACCTCTTTTAGGAGGAATTCAGGCTTTAAATTAGGTGTGACCAGTGACAGGGATCAGGGGGATGAGCTCTGCCTGTTCCTGGAAAATTCCCGTTGCCACCTGGTTTTATTTCCCTCCCTGGGATTATTCCCCGTGGCTGTTCCTGCCTCCAAAGCTTTGGGGAATACTGATGCTCCTGCTTCGCCTGCTGGCAAGAAGGATGGCTGGGAATGTAAATCCTGAGTTGGAAACTTGGGAATTCCCACCGGGCAAATCCTCCCCTCCTCCTGCGCTGCTCTGGGGACACGGCAGGTCCCAAACTCCTTTTACACCCCCAATTTTTGAAGGCTCTCAGAGCAAATCCTTCCCCAGCTTGAGGATTTGAGATTTTTCCAAAGGGCTGACGTGGCTCCTATAGAGTAATAACGATGCCATGGGGGAGCTGGACTTGCAGGGGGAGCTTTGGGGGGAATTGGAGCTGGGAAACGGAGCCTCCCAAGGCAGATCACAGCAGATTTGTGTTGCTTGGCAGCTCTTTCAGCGAGTCCCAGACTCTGGGGTGCTGTTTCTGCAGCCTGCTGTGTGCTCAGACTGCTCTGCTGGATTGCTGAGCCCTGGATTCCTGACAGGCACACGGAAAAGGGAAATTAACAGTGGATAAAGTGAATTAAAGGTAATAAAAATAAGTGTCTGGCTGGATAATCTGTCTATTCCAGCCCAGCCTTGCAGTTTGGGGAATATCCTGGGTGGACAGGGGTTGGGTGATGCAGGAGGCCTTGGGGAGGAGAGCCTGGAGTGTTGGTGCTGAGAGGTTTTGGCCCAGTGACACCCAGAGATGGTGGAGATGCTCCGGGCACTGAGCTCAGGTGTGCAGCAGCTGGAGTTGGGAAGTCGAGGTTGTCTTGGTGAGAAGAATTTTGAGGTGGAACTGATCCCTGCATGGACGGGATCTGAGTGGGTGCTGCCTGTCCATGAAGCTGGAGAGGAAAGCAGTGAAGGCTGAGTGCCTGTGGTCATCCAGGAATTGGGAGAGGGGCTGGAAGCCTTGAGCCATCCCTGTGTTGGAAAATGCCCAACAAAGCCCTTCAGGATCTTTGTTCCTTTCCCCTCCTGCCTTTGACCTCACCCCCAAAGCTGGAAAATGTTTCTCTACTTGTGCTTTCCACCTTTTCATTTACCCCTAAACATTTACCTGCTTCAAATCCTCTGGTTTTTTTATCCAGCACAAATTTTGGAGCCCCTGGGTCAGTCCCACTCCTGCCACTGCCTCAAACCCTGCATTTGACCAAAGCATTTCTCTGCTGTTTTTCCTGGGACCTCTCCTGAAGCAGTCCCACAGATTCTCCAGGGCTTTGGGGGTTTTGATTTGTGAGTGTCTTTAACAAAACCTGACCTTTGGAGTTATGGATTTGAAGAGCCAAGCCATGAGAGCCTGACAGCTCGAATAATCCAAGCCACACTTTTCCCCAGAGCTCAGGAGGGAACACTTCTTTCCCTCCTCCATAAAAGCAGGAGCTCTCAAACCACCTCCTGTAGCCTGTAATTTTGCACCTATCTTCTCTGTGCTTCGGCTGGGATTTATGGCACAGTATAAGTTTATTTTGGATAGCATCTTTCACACAAACACTGCCACTTGAAGGCTTTTCAGAGGAAGGTAAAAGCGAGGCAGAGCAGAGTACAAATTAGGGAGAGAAGTGCTTTGGAGGTGTGGGCTGGGGAATACATTTGAGGCTGGAGGAGAGAGGGAAAAAGCTGGAGCATGGGAGAAGCGATATATTTAATTTGGAGGGGTTTCAATGAGCAGGACAGCTGTGGAGCTGTGTGAGAGAAACTGGGGGTGAAGGTGTGTGCTTGGTGGAGGGGTTTGAGGATGGATGACAGCATTCCTGAGAAAGGGAGCAGTGAGGAAACTGGAATAGAAAACTGGAATAAAAATCTGGTGGAGGCACACTTTCACCAGCTGCTTGTCTGGTGATGGAGAGGAGTTGGAGCTGAAGCTCCTCCAAGTGTGGTGTCTGTTCCCCAGTGACAGCTCTGATTTGCAATTTCCTGCTAAAACGGGCTGTGGATGCTGCTCCAGCCTCCAAGCAGGACTGCTGGAATATCTGTCATGTGCCTGGTGCCACTGGCACAGGAAAATGAGGGAGTTGTGGGCTCCAAAGGAGGAGTTGTCACCGCTGTCACAGCGAGCTGGCTCCTCTCTGCAAGGACAAAGCCTTGCTGAGAGCTCAAACATCTCCAAGCCCATCACAGCAGAAAGATCTGAGTGAAGCCACTCACACCCCATAAAATCCCTGGATTAGGGAGCAGGAACTCTGCTCTTTAGGGATGCTGTCCTGGCTGGGGTGGAGGTGTCCTGGTGCCAGGGCTTTGATCCCTCACAAGCTCAAGGATGAGGGGAAAGGTGTGAAAGGCCACAAAAAGCCCAAAGGCATCACCCCAAGGATGGATCTGTCCTGGGGAATGTATGAAAGGCCACAAAAAGCCCAGAGGCATCGCCCCAAGGATGGATCTGTCCTCCTGGGGCTGCTCTGTGTGCCTGAGCCAAGTGGCAGCGCACAAATGTAAAATAATGAGGCAGCAGCCTGGAGTGTCTGGAGCAGGCGGGGAGGAATGAAGATGGATGAGTGTAGCTAAGAGACAATTTGAAAAGGGATAAATACAGGCAACAAGTTATTCACCGCGGCAATTTGTAAGGAGTGCTAAAAACCTTCAGACAGGATTGTTTCACGTCGCCTGGCTCTCTATTTGCAGCCTGACAGGTTTCATGTAAATGGTGCTGATGGATGGCTGCAAAGCAGAGCCCTGGAGCTGCTCCTCTGCTCTCCATCAGCTCCACTCCTCCCGTGCTGCTGGGCTCTGGGGGCAGCCCCAAGGCGTGGCAAAGTGGGGCATTGAGTGGGAAAAACCTGATCCGGGTGCAGAGGAACAGTGGGAAGGGGCAGGGATACTGAGCAGGTTCCATGGGACAGGGGGAAGCTGCTGAAAGGGAATTTGGTTGGGATTTAGTGGCCTGAAACTAAAGGAGGAGATGGAGAATTTCCCCACAAAGTGGAATGGTTGAGAAGTTGTCCAGAGAAGCTGTGGCTGCCCCATTCCTTGGAAATGTTCAAGGTCAAGTTGGACAGGGCTTGGAGCAAGCTGGGATTGTGGAAGGTGTTCTTAGGGAGGGGACAAATGGGATTTTAAGATCCTTTTCAGCTCAGGCTATTTTATGATTCTGTGATTCTTTACTTGGTACCACTTCTCCTTCACCATGGTTATAACCTGGACTGACCTTCCCACATCACATCCTGGGACTGACAGGATTCCAGGGAATACAGGATTCCAGGGAATACCATGATGGCTACAGCAGCTGGGGGAAAAAACCCCAAATTAATCTATGCATGAAGATATAATTACATTAAACTCAGCATTTACTTTCCTTTCTAAGGAAGGAGAGGGAATTGCTGCAAGCAGCAAGAACAGGCAGGAGCTTTGTAAAAGAAAGATGCAGAGAATTTGAAATTGGTGTTTTATTGGAAGGCTTTGAGCCAAGTGAGGCCAGGTAGAAGAGGCACTTCCATCCTGCAGGATTAACAGAGAAAAACAAGTGGAGGGACGGGAAACAATCAAAGCAAGCTCAGCTTATCCCCATTTCCTTTTCAAACATCTTACCTAGAGGTGTTTCAAATGTGATAACTTTATATTGCATGTGCAGCCCTGTGGGGATGTGGGTATTGGGATGAGATTTATTCCTGTGCCTCCTGCCCACCCTCCCCTGAGTTCTTTGTGATCTGTTTTGCCTCAAAAAGGAACTTTCATCCCCTGCAAAGCCACAGGCAGGAGCCTTTTGCTTGAGCCCATAAAGGGTGGCTGGGAATGGACAGGATTCTCCTGGAGCTACTCTTCCCTGCAATATTCCAGCAGAGAGGCTCTGGAGGAGGGGTTGCCAGTTCTCTCTGGAGGTGTGCTGGCCAAGGAGAGGTGACAACCTTTGTCCCTCTGCCTGGAGCATTGTCCAGCAGTGCTGAATTCCCCTGAACAGGGAGGGTTTTTGGCTGGGAACAATCAAGGAGATTACACCAGCTCCAGGATTGTCCCCCAAGTGCTTCACTGACCTTGTTCCCAAAATTTGCTTTTGGTGTGGATTTTCCCTCTGCAGCCAGGGCCAGCAGGGTGAGATGTCCTGGGACAGTGAGGTCACTGCCAATCAGGGCTGTTTGCCCTTTGCCAGAGCTGTGCATTCCCTCTGGAATCATCTGCCTGTGACTCAGCATTCCAGGGATTTGTGGCTCTTCCCTCTCTGCTGCAGCATCTGATGCTCTGGGGAGAGCAGCCAGGTGCCCAGGTGTACATCAGGCCTCTCCAGCAGCTGCCTCCTCTCTTCCCTGACAAGAAATTCCAGGCAGCCTCTGGATTTAGAGGCCAAGGTGAGCTGTAAATCTCAGGGCTGGCATCGCTGAGGAGCTTCAACCCAACTGGAAAGCTCAATTTAGGAGCCTTCCACTTGTAAAAAGCAGCAGTGCTGCAGAATTTTCAGGTTGAAAACCAGTTAGAAGCAGATCTGCAGCAAAGAATTTCTGCAGCAATCTGAAAATTTCAGGTTTATCCTTCACCTTGAGTTGATTTGGACCGGGTATAATTCTAGGAAGGACAATGTTCTCAACTGAACTGATTTTTTTGTGTGTATTCATGTCTTTAATTCATCTGAACTCTCCAATTAATTCTGATTTTAGATCCATTTCCACCTCATTCTCAGCCAACCCATCTTCAGACCTCCTCTTCAAGGAGTATCAGGGTTTGGATAATAATTCATGTGATGCTTTACTTTGTCCCAGCTGGATTTTCTGCCTGTTCAAGGAAGAGCTGTGAGATTTTTGGGTCCGGGGGAGTCATTCCTGGGGGATTTCTGGGATGTGGCGCAGCATGTGGAAACTGCACTTCTGAAGGTCACTTTATTTCTGCCAAATAACTTAAAATGTGCTTTTATGCAGCATTTTGGTTTAGGAGTGGAAGATTTTTGAGCTCCTCTGCTGGGATCACTCATGAATATTAAATTAAATAAAGAGTGATGGAGGGCTGGCCCTCGAGTTGTGGCTCTGGTTCCTCTGCCTGCTGATGTTGTCAGCCTGGGGAAGAAGGAACCTGCCAGAAACCATGGATTGTGCTGATGGTTTGAGCCTGGGAAATGAATCTGGGAAGAGAAATATCCATGCTGTCTCTGGCCCTTCCATAAGTATGGAATTACCAGCATTGACCATGAGGAGAATGGATGAGAAACTGGGAATTACATCCCTCTGAACTGGGAATTACATCCCTCTGAACTGGGAATTGTATCCCTCTAATAAGCAGCTGATTTGGGCCATCCTATTCCATGCTTGGATTGCAGACACCTCCAGCCTTTTTGGGATGTAAACCTAAAATCTGATCAGTTTTCTCCTCTGGCTCCACCTGTTTGACTTCACCATTGCAAAGTGCATTTTCCTTTCCTCATTCCATGGTTGATCTTCTTCCAGTCACTCCCATTGATTGCATGATCTCAGGAATAAAATTTTAGGCCTCAAGCAATGAAAATCAGTTTTTATCCCATAAAACCTCCTCAGTGCAGGGGACAGGAGCTGCCCTTGCCTGGAATTCTCTTGTAAAGGTCCTTTCCTAGATCTGATACTCCCATACTTTGCTTATTAATCCTCTTTTTATTTTTCTCCTTTTTCCCTTCTAACCTCGTGTCTTAATCCCAGAAAAATTCTAGGACTGCTACAACTATGCAACTTTTGGAGCCTAAATCAAAAAAAACACTTTTGCTGTGAAATCCTACTTTTTCCTGGAGATGTATTTTCTTACCACTTTTATGGAAAGAATCTTCAAGTTCTTTTTTTGTTTTGTTTTGGTTTTTTTACCAGGGATCTTTGCCATCCTGTCAGTGGAGAGAGGAGCAGACCTGGAGAGTTTTTTATCTGGAAGAGAGCACGTGGTGGAAATAAGTGATGCTGGAGCCTTGCAGGCCCTGTGTCACAGCAAGCAAATTGACCTTGTGCTTAAATGGTTATTGTGGGCATTCCGAGGGGGATATTGGCTGCAAATGTGTTACTGGCATAATTAAAATGTAGTCCCTGCCTGGGTTTTTATTCCTGGGAATGGTGCAGATCAGCACGGGAGTGGCAGGAGTGGGAGGAAGCTGCAGCTCCTCCTTGCCTCAGTCTTTACCACTACGATTAATTTTCATTACAGAGGAAATGAAATTCAGCCCAGGAGACCCTCTTTGATTCCCAGGGAGGAAAAGTGTCTTGCTTTTATGGCAGGAAACTGCACTTTAAACTGCTTTTAGATCCCCTTGCAGGCTGGTTTACACTTCAAGCCCCAGTTTGTCAGCTGGCAGGTACCTGCTGCTTCCCCTGGGCACCCTTCTCTGTCTGCCTTTGGTTTCCTCCTCTCCGTGCTCCAGGGCACCAGGCAGCTTCTAATTAATCAGGGTCAGGAAGAAAATTTCCCTGGGGAAAAGTTGTTTTCTCTCCACCTGCTTGCAAAGCTTTCTGAGCCTGCCAGCAGAGCTGCTGGGCAGAGAGGGTAGATGATGGTAAATGCCTAAACCAGCCTGAAAATGTCAGGGCTTGAGCTCTTCCCAACATCCCCTGGACTTTTGTGGCTTTCCCTGCTGCTTCTGAGCTAACTAGAGATGTGTTGGAGTCAGCTCTGGTCACTGGGAAATATTGGCTGGAAGGGGAATAAGTTGCCAGTGGAGATTTGGAGGAGTTTCTGTGGAAGGTTTGGGGAACTCCATCCTGCTGGTGAACATGGAATTCCCAGTAACAGTGCTCCAGGTGCAGGCAGAGTGGGGAACTTGGGGATGATGGGTCTGGTTTTAGTTTAGTGACCACCAGGGCAGGCTGAGAGAAAGAACAGCAAATCTTTTATCCTTTAGAGGAAAAGGGTTGAGCTCATCTGCTGATGCTTCCCATGTTCAATTCGCCCATCTCTTGGGGTACAAAAACATTTCTCTCCTGTCTGGGGCACTCACAGAGCTCAAAACCTTCAGCTGAGCAGCTGCTCTCAAGAATCTGGAAGTGCTGCTCCCTCTGAGAGCAACAAACTCTTAATTTTCAGTGCCATCTGCATAAAGGGCATTTTCTGTGCTGGGAAATCTCACTGAGGTGGGCAACAGGGAAGGGAAAATAGGGTTATTGTGGGTTTTTTACCAATAGGATGACTTCTCTCTGCCAAAGTCCCCCTGTGGCTGTGGGATGAGCACAGATCTCTGGTGTCCCCAGGAAGATTTTTAACCCTCTGGTTGTTTCTGCCAGTACAGAAAATTTTACTCCTGAGCACCTGGTGACTTCCCTGAGTCCGTCTTCTCTAATCCTAAAAATGAAAAAAGGTAATAATGACAGTTTTCCTGTCTCAGGTTCCAAAAATAAGGAGCTCAAGTGTTCAAAGAGCTGCTCTCATGCCCCACATCCCCCCAGTGCTGAGGACAGGGTGTTTCAAGGACTCTTTCAGCCGGAATTAATCCCTAATTTATCCTTCAAACACTTCCCAAGAAGCAGCTTATTTGGAGGCAGAGGCTGGGAGAAGCTCGAAAAGGAGTTTTATAGAATTAAAATTTGCTTTCCCCCTCAAACAGCAGCTGCCCCAAGTTCTGCATCAGCTCAGGGACAGACCTTGCAGAACTCCAGCTTTTTGGAGGGAGCTGGAATCCATCCCAATCCACCAATTTCCCTCCTTTCCCTTTTGGATTCCAGCAGAGTCAGCACCTTCACCCAGCTGATTCTGGTGCTGATGCCTTTGAGGGTCAAGCTTTGCTTTTTCTGTTTGTTGTCTCATCCCTGTTGGCACAGAATTTTGGATACTGCAACGTCTCCGGTTGGGATTTATTTTTTGTTGGCTTGGGCAGATTCCCATTGCGATGGTGATGCAGCAGGAGAGGAGCTGCAGTGATTTGGAGCTCCAGGGCAGGCTGTCTCCAGGTTTTGTGGATGTGGAGTGGTTTCCAGGAAGGAATGGACTGGTTCAGGTGGACAGAGATGATCCCACTCAGGGATGGGGAGGACAAATGAAGGGAGAGCTGCTGTTATGAAACAGGAACTTTTTAAATCCAGCAGTCAGCAAAGGCACTGCCAGCTAAAAACCCAAAATGAGGCACCTCTGGCTTCTATCCTAGAGAAAAAAAAACCAACTTTCTGTGCCCTTTTGCTGGAGTCCTTTTCCAGTTCACAGAATCCTAAAATGGTTTGGGTTGGAAGGGACCTTAAAGCTCCTCCGGTTCCATGGGCAGGGACAGCTCCCACTGTCCCAACCTGGCCTTGGGCACTCCAAGAGATGGGAAATCCACCCCCAGCCCTTGCCTAGGTGTGATCCAGGCTGTGGAATGTGCCCTGGGAAGGGAAAGAGCTCGGAGGATTTCTTGTGAGAGCTTCCCTGGCCCAGCTCTGACTGACAGCTGCAGCGAGGTGAAATCTCATCTCCCTGATATTAAACTTAACCTTTATGGGTTTCACTTTAAACAGCTGTGGAATTACACTGCCTGTCCTTTAATCATGGGAGGGCTTTTAAGAGAAGGGGTTTTTGTTTAAAGCTTCACTCAGATTTACTGGAGATGGGAGGGAGAGGGCACAGGAGGAGGGGAAAAGAGAGGTGATGGAGCCAGTGACAAAAGCAGGGAGTTTTCAGGGGCATGGCTGCATTAATTTGGGCCAGGAGAACACTGGAACATTCCCTCTGGGAATTTGCCACTTTTAGGAAGGGAATTATCTGTTTCTTCCTATCGTGGGGAGAATAAGATAGACATTTGCTGCTCCAGGCATAGAAAATATTCAGGGAAGCAAAGCAGAGCTGATACAAGTCAGTACAGAATAATCTGGAATAGTTGTGCTTTCTGTCCTTCCTCTTCAGGCCCAAATACTCCCCTCAAACTCCTCTCTTGCGCCCCAGTGCATGAAGCTGCCCTCCACACACAAATAATTGATCAAATCCTCCCCCAGTTGGACGAGCTGAGGTAAAAAACCAAGCCACGAGAATTGGTCCCCTCTGAGCATCATTGCAGTGTCCCCATTTCCTGCACTGGAGCCCATTATCTTTAATTAACACTCCTAAATTCCCTTTTCTCTCCTTCCCAGACCGGTTAATAATTCTTGGATCTCATTAATGTTTTTATTTTTCCTCAGCAAATTCACATTTTCTTTCCAAGTCCGACTTTTTAACAAATAATGAGTCTAATTTATGCCTGTAAAAACGAGCTGACCTTCTCAGCTTTATATTGCAATTTAAAATAAAATAAAAAAAGGAGGAGAGGAGTGCTGGAAAGTGACTCCAGAAGTGGCTGTACAAGCACTCGTTTGCCTCATCAGTTCTTGGATTTTTGCATCAATTGGCTGATTTTGGCCCCTCTGGAGTTGGGAACAAAATGTCCCTGCAGCAGCAGCCCCACCGTGAGTCAGCAGCATCTGTCACCACGTCCCCACCTGGCCAAAGTCCCCACTCTGCCTTTGGAGGACGAGGCAGGAGCTGCCAGGGCTCAGCACAGAGAGCAGGGATGTGTTATCAGGGGAGGATGTATTATTAGAGGCTTAAAACTTGAAATACCACACCTTTAAATAGCTGTGAGGTGAGCGGAGGGAGGGCTTGGGCCACCCCACCTGCTCTGTCCTCAGCCAACCCTCAGCATCTGCAGGTGAGACTGCAGAGAAATGGTCACGGAAAGCCTGGAGCTGAAGGAAGTGATTTTTCTTGGAGATTTTAAGTGTGGAGGAGCAGAGAGAATGCCCTCAGTGCTTGAGATACAGAAATTCTGAATTTTGTGTGTGTAGTGGTTTAAATTTGCCAGTTTTGTTTTCCTGGCCAACGCACCAAATAAATGTCGTGGTTTTAAAGCAGTAACTAAAAAATTACTAGAAAAATTTCTTGCTGTGAGATATGGATTAGAACAAGAGCAAAACAGGCTTGAAAATTAAAAGGAATAAAGAAAGTTTATTAACAAAACTGTAAGAATAATACTCCCATCAGCCACCAGCAGCTTCAACTTCAACTTCTTTAGCTCCCAAAGCTATCTTAAAGGTAAAGTCACCCCATGACAGTGTGCTGGGGAGGGAGGAACTGGAGGAAGCACAAATCTGCTGGGACACCTGGCTCCAGCAGTGAGAAAGCTGAGCTTTACAAAGCCTCAGCCTTCACACACAGCCTTTAATAATAGTTATTTATTTATTTAAATAAATTGTTATATATATTTATATATTATATATAAATATATTGTGTATATAAATATATTATATTAATATACTATATATAATATATACTGTATATGAATATATAAAAATATATATTATATATAAATACATATAAATTTATTATGTATATAAATATATTATATATATTATATAGAGTATATTCGATATATAATATAGAATCTTATATATGATAATATATTCTATATATTCTATATATTATATATATAGAATATATAATATAATGTAGATAATTATATATAATATATTATCTATTATCATATATATATGTATATTTTTATATATTCTATATAATATGTGTATTTTATATATAATATATAATTTTTATATTTTATAAATATAAATGCAAATATACATATATATATGTGTGTGTATATATATATACACATATATACATATACACACACACATATATATATACGTATATATATATACATATATATATATACACATATATATTTATATATAAATAAAATTCATAAAATGCCCTTCAGCTCTGCTGCTGGAATGCCCAGACCCTGCAGGCACTTTCCTGCTGGAAGCAAAATAAGTTCTCCTTGGAGCATCAGAGCTGAGCCTCAGCAGGAATTTGGGGTCTCAGGAGCTCAGCCCCAGGCTGCCAGCAGCGAGCAGTGCCCAGGGGAATGTGCAGCTGTGCTGGGTCTGAGAGCAAAGCCATCCACAAAGAGCATTAAGAAAGAGAAGAATTCCATGTTTTCCATCCCAACATTTGGCTGTCGGCATCCTGGGGCAGATTCCTGCGGAGGAATCCTGTCGGGGAGAGGCTGATGGAGGAGCTGATGCCAAAACCCCAATGTTCTCATGATGCGGCAGAACCGAGGGAGTTGGGAGGCAGCAAGGACAGAACTGGGAGATAAAAGTGCCAGGGCAGATAAGAGGTGTGAGACT